AGGAAGATTAATATTTAATGCTAAAAATTTCCACGCGAAATAACACGGATTTTGCATTTTTAAAGTGGCGCACAAATCATCTTTTATGATTAAAATGAGCTTTGTGCAGTGAATAAATGTTTTGCCAGTTGTCGCTAAAACGCTTTTTAAATATCAGTTCTCAAGTCTGAAGTCAATGTGAACACATTTTCCGCGGTTACAAACGGTTAAAATGTTTACAGATATTTATCGATACTTTATTTTTTAGTAACGTTAAAAAAATATATATGGCTTGTGTTACATGATGTTACACAAAGTGCTGGAATTCATAAAATATTAATCAAGTTTTTGAAACGGCATTAAATTTTATGAATTGTTAAATTAAAAAAGAATATTAAAACAAGAAAATATTCTTGAATAAAAAAAGATTATGGTAGAATGAAGCAAAAGAATTATTACACGTCATGAGTGAAAAATGCATGTTGGAGAATCAGTTCTCAACGTGAAAAATATTTTCCGATATTAAACATAATCCGCTTTTAAGATTTTTTTAATATTTTTTAAAACTCATAATTAAAAAATGCGTGTTTTTCCTCTGATGCGTTTTTTCCTTTTGAGGCGCTTTGGATTAATTTATTCTGACATAATAGGGAGTTTTTGCAATAACGTGAATTCAGATACGGTGAACGCTAAAGTCACGCTATTCTTTTCTTAATTAATTGTTAAGAAGAAGATAACCTAACCTTAGCGTTCACTGTATCTGGATAAACGCTATTGCAAAAACTCCCTAATAAGGTAGTAAAGTGTTACCTTAATTCGTTCTTTAACGTTGTAGAATAATTATACTAGGAAGAATCATTCTTCGATTGTTATTTATCGTTCGTAGATTGCAATGGCATGTCTCAATAACGCACATATGCACTCACAAAGTACTGTGAGCGATAAACATAAGTGCATTCCGACATGAACGCTCTTTATCATGTCTTGCACGTATTCTCCCATTTCGCGTTTTTCATTAATCCTCTCACTTGTAGCACTAGTTTTATGTCTTCTTTTTATATGCCATGCATTTTTTCAATTAGATTATGCAACATAATTTCGCGAAAATTGTGTGTTGTTCAATGATTACATTCCGAGTTCTCGTTATCATCGCACTTGGGAGTGATTAGGTGAACGATATTGATGTCGATTTCGTTGTTGATCAAGTTGAAGCACCATTTCGAATTTAGCATTGTAATAAGATAAATTTTCCTACTGATTTTTTCACAATGGCATTTTATTGTTCACGTTACATAATATAATGAAATCGTACAATATAAAGCAACAATCTTTTACTTCTGCAAATAAAATCAGAGTTTCCTAGAAATATTTCAATATTTTACCGAAATTAAATTTGGTAATAAAAAATAATAGATCCTTATTTTATATTCACATTATTTCTATTTTATTATTAAAATTTTATATAAATAGAAATATTTTAACATCCTTTAAAGAAATATCGACTTTTATTTTATAAACTATATTGGATATTTTTCCGCTAGCAAGCACATTCTTCTTCTATCCTTCAATTAATTTAGATTCAATCTCCAAGTTTCTTTTAACAAGAAATTACAGGTACATTATTTTATTTTTCTAAATCACAGATTCTAGTATTTAAATTATATAATTAAAATAATTATATAATATTTCACAGAGAAAGAATTAATATATTATTTTTAGAGCAGATTTTAAATTAAAAATTCAATTTATGTTAATTTAAAGAAAAAGTGTCGTTTTCATTAAATGCCGCATTTCAAGCACAAAACAAATTTTCTTAAGCTTTTCGACATTCTAATTGTTAGAAAAGAAAAAATTAAATAATTAATTTCTCGAAATACAGTCGCAAACTGACAATACAGTGAATACATAGCTATAATGACGTAGCTACCGCAATGTGTATCATTAGTTGGAGACGTACGCCAGAAAATCCCATTGGCGAGGACTTCTTGCTCATGCAGAATAAAAACCGAGGTTAGGCAAGGGTAATAACTTCTTCATGTCAAGGGAAGGTAATATCTCTCACCGAAACTAAATTGTAGCTTCTTCGTTAACAACTGAGCCAGCTAGTTACGCGCATTGCAGTGACTATACGTAAAACTAGGAAATGGCAAGAGCTTTAATTGTCAGTTTGCGTCATGTTAATAAATCAAAGTTCGTCATTAAGAAAGAGACCTTTTTTTCTTTTTTCGACGAGTCTCCAAAGTTCCCGGACACTACCTAGTTAATTAGACGAGTACCTTTGGAATATGTGAGCTGTAATTTGATATTTTCCAATCAATATGTTGAAAACACTGAAACATCGGTGTTTTCTAAAACGTGTTATTTGCAACTGGAAACGTACATATACTAATTTTTCAACTTTATATAACATGTTGCGCCATTTCAAATAAATTATCTGTAATAATGACACAAATTTTCTACAAATTTTTTTTAAGTTTTCTATCTAGTGCTGCTTTCTTTTGTAGAGCAGTGCAGATAATGCAAAACAAAGAGATAAGAATTTCTATATTGTGAATTAATTCACATCATTAATTAACTTTTTTAAAAATAAAGCGGAGCTCTTGTAATTTTAGTCTTTAAATGGTATAACACAGACTGTGATTAATGAAAGTAAACTGTTGTGTCGTAAATTAAAGAGAATTGCGAAGATAAGTTTGATAACGATAAGTTATATGATCTGCAAACACAAAACGAATTAAAACTGTATCTAAACGATTTGCCTTTCTATACCGAATTCCAAGTTTTTGTTGACACTGTTGACGTATATACAAACAGAATCACATAAAAATGACTGACGTATAAGAGGACTTTTTTTGTAATCTCCCTCATTATGATGGCTTCTCTATAATGTCACTTCATACGTCGGTAATATCTCGTGATTATGTTTGCTTAGTTGTCAGTTGTGTCAATAGAAACTCGGTGTTTCCAATCGCACTTAATCCAATTTGTTTGCGAATCATCACGAGTTGTGTCTCTGGTGATTATTTTTAATTCGCGTACACTCTAATTTATAGACTTGTAACAGCCACTGGACATATTAAACAAACGTAATTATAATAAAACAATAAATCACTTCATTCGCTATACATTGTCTCGTTGTTCCATCAGAGACAGTTGCAACTGCGGCCTCAAATCATCAACGCTAACGATTACGATTGTCCATTTAAATTATAGCTCGCGGCATATGGATAAAGCTAGAAAATTAAATTCACCAGGATTAATGTTACTCGATATTATATTGGTGCAATACATCTCCGAAGTCATTAGTGTTATGTATCGACAATTCTAGTTGATTAATTTTGCTTGGCGATCTGTCTATTTCCAGATCATATAGTCCTAGTTGCAATATAAACAGGTAAGAATTTTATTAATCATCATTGACTCTAATCGGTATTTATACACACACACACACACACACACACAAGCTCGTAAGTTTTCTTAGAAACGTGTGCAATCGGTACCAATCGATTCATTTATTCCGATTAGTTCAGTTCTTCTTATTCACACAAAAAGATTGATTAAAAGAAATAAATTGTATAGAGAGAGAGAGAGAGAGAGAGAGAGAAGCTTGTTTGCAGAATGAAATTATAAATCACGTTTCGACTTGAAGCAATTATGTTTGTTTATTGAAAAATATTGAAAATAATTCTGACGCTAATATAATGAATAAATTGCTTCCTTATTTTTTTTGTTCTGCTCGGCAGTTGCGCTTCTGCACGGTAATTACAGGTTCAATCGCGTTTTAAACGTCACATAAAACGCTCGCTTATTATGCACAAGCATTCGATTGTACATTGCACCGTATCTATTGGTACCAACTGTTTTCTAACTTGCTTTTTATTTGATCTCTTTGATTCTCTGAAGTTCGTGACCTTTTTTTGTATAATTTTCAACTTTAATTGCATTTTTATTAGTTTTATTAACGCCGCGAACGAATTAAAATTTCTTTTAACGTACACAGTAAAAAAATTTGTGTATTTGTGTTGGAAACGGTTCACTCACGTTTGTGTTAATTGTTTGTATTGAATTTTTTAACATATTAATACAACATAATGTGATTATATTATTTGAAGATTTTTTGTGAAATTGATATTCAATGTTTCTTGTAGCGTTTTCGACCCGGCCGGGTTTGCACCAACCTGGGTTGGATCGGGCCGATCGGGCCAAAAACGCTATTAGTCAAAATGACAAAATTTATGAGTAAGTGAACACGTAACATAAAAATAATGTATTTTAAAACATAAATTCTAAGACAAACGGATGAAATACGTATTAATTTAACATATAAATGTTAATTTTCTGAAAAAAATATGTTCCCACGGTTTGTTTACAACTGTATCGATGTTATCTTTCTTTGTATTTATTCTCTTACATAATACCTTTTAACATATTCATCTTGTGTAAAATTAACTCAAAAATTTGAGTGGACCGTTTGGGACATGCGATTTATGTTAAATTCAACACATTTTTTCCAACTGTGTAGAAAATTTTAAAAATATATCCTATATATGAGCAAAAACGTAAATTCCATAAAATCGATGGAAAATGAAAAAAATCTTTGGTGAATGCAACAGAATTTTATCATGTCAATTAAAAATTTGATTAACACGAACGCAATAAATCACGTAATTGCAATTTGTAATGTTTGGTATTCCGTAAAACACGCTAACGTCAGTGGATCTATATATTTTATGACTAATTTACGTGTAATTGTTATTGAGGCGCCGCTATATAGTTTAACTTGTTTATCGTTATCAAGAGCTACCAGTAAGGTGACAAAGATATCAAACAATCAACACATCATCGATACAAGGTACGATTCATTGGCAGCGATATAGATTTCCGATAATTTATCGTTGTTACGTAAGAAAATAATCGGAGATTTATAACACGGCTCTCACTTAACGAAAAGATCATTTTAACGACAGTGCGTGTGCGATATCGGTAAGTCCGTTCTTTTAACTTCTATTGTACTCCTAACTACTACCAATTGAAAGTTAGCACAATTTTCCCTCCGATACATACTCATCCGGTCACCGTGAGATTAATCGCGACTATCATTGTTTCAAATCGCGCGTGAAGCTATTGCGATTATCATTGATAAACAATAAATAGCAATTTGATCTCATCGATACGTGATTTCTTTTTCGTCGCGCGTGAAAAACTGTGGCGGGGGAAAACAATTATCGATCCTCCCGATGAAAGCAATCAAATAAGTGTGAAGAACCGAATTTTTTGTCGTCGTGATAATATTTATCCGCTTGAATTAATTGTTCTGCGGACATTCTAATCCATGATTGTTCGCGAAAGGGATAACTGACACTAAAGTGCACCGAGTTCATCGAGTTTGTAAGGATCTTTTACTAAAACTAATTGTACGAACATTAACACATTGAGATTTATTATATTTTTATATACAAAAATCTAATATTGGCCAATTTGATATCAAAACACAATAATTAATTACTTATTTTAAATATAATTAAAAGGACTGTTGTCTAGTGTTTTTAGCTTTAAATAAGTAATCAATTACTGTCTTTCAGCAATAAATTGGCCAGTATTAAATTGGCTAGTATTAGCTAGATTTCTGTAAAGATATTGATCAATGTATCTATATATCTTCATTTGATTATAATCAGCTTCGTAAATCAGATTATGCTTTGTAAACCATTTATTTCATAAGTTATTTATCTTCGTTCGAAGTTTTAACCGAAGCGGTGCAACTGTTGTCCTTCTATTTCCTCGAAGTTTTACACCAATAAGCGCGTAACGTAATTGCATTTAAAACTGAAAGGACACTCCTTCGCCAAGCGTGATTTACGGAACGTATTCTATCGCGTGAAATTGAATTTTCGTTATATTATTTTCTCTCTTTACAAGCAACACGATCGTTTGTATCTGCGCGAACCTACCGTCGTCAACTCGCAATCGGGACACGGCACGCATGTGCGTAACGTGGTTATCGGTTACGGGTCGACGACGTAGGATCCGGAGTAAATCTCGTCCTGGATATTATTGATTTTTCCGTTGATACAAGCAGGCCGAGTTAGCCGTAAAATAACTTCTTCGAATTACTTTGTTCCACGCGTAATTTAATCAGTGGAAAGAAATATTATATACGACGTTCCGTTTCTTCGCATTCCGTGCGAGAGAAAGAAAAAAAGCAAAGAAAAAAAAGAGATTTATCGGCGTTCTTGACAAATACCGGTCGACTCATTACACAGGGTGTTCACAGCATGAGACTGACGTCCGAAATACGGGTACATTAATCAGTCCAGTAGAATGCCACAAAACACGGACTGAAAAGTCCAGGCTCGAAGCTTCATTGCGATTGATTCTGTTTCGTGGTTTAATCAATCGCGCCACTCGCTTGCATTAACATTATTACAACGCGTTTGATACAGCGCGCTATCGATTTTCCCTCGGCTTATATTAGGGAGAGCACCGGTGATAGGAGAATTATCTTCGAATTGGAGTGGTATATTACGAAGAGTAGATTTTACTGGCACGGTTTGCGGTTTTTTTCGTATTGAAACTCACATAAAATTTGGTGAAAAGATCCTCGTACCTATACTTTAAAGAGTTTGGAGATTTGATATTAAAAGTATTTTTTGTGAGCATGAAAGATGATATCTAGGGGCAAATTATTTCTTCATTGTCAGATAAATGTCTTCATTTATTTTGATGCTTACGCAAATTGAAAGATATAATTGGGCGCATTTATCGTGTAGTATTTGCAGCTTTTTCTACAGAAATTCTCTGGAACTGCATTCGAATTAGACTTAATAGACGAATTTTGCATTCTCTTTCTTTTTCTACAAAACGGAAGTATATATAACTATAAATTTAATTTTACCGCTTTTTTTTGTGCTATCATTTTCTTATTGTAAAGCTGAATCTCTTTTCTTGATACAAAGAAGATATCGCAAATATATATGTGAATCGGAAAAGATACGTTATCTCATCTATCATTCTAAAGTAAAAATTCTTCTTCCACAAACATTTTATCAAAATCATATGAATTGGATTTTGATGAGATCTCAAATAACAATTTGAAAATTTTCCTCTATCATCTCGTTCTCCTACTCGATGCTTCTCTCGACAAGGGTCCCTTTCGATGGAATTGATTCTTGTGGACACCATTCTGCGTGTGGCGATGCCGCGCGACCTTGATCAAGGCGCCTCGTTTCAGGGTCTAGGTCTCGAGACGTATCGCCGCAACGACCGCGATCGACCCGCGATCGAGATCGCGCCTCGCGAGGAACAGCAAAAGAAAAGAGTGGGAGACGGATCAGAGGAAGTCGAGCGAGAAAGAGAGATCGAGAAAATGACCCCCACTCGCGGCAATGAGGAAATAGAGGGGCGCTCTTATAAAGACTATGCCTACAGCCCTGTACCAGTGAGTTCCCTTTCGACGGTGAATGATACACCCCCAGTCAGAGAATCAGTGGAATTGGACATACGGAGCACGTCATTACGCACCAACGGTCATAGTGGTCCCGAAGACATGACGGAGGAGGGTTCCAAATATGTCCAGTTCCTGGCTGCTGCAGCGGGTAAGTCCCCGTCTCTCTATAAATAAAAGGTTAAATACCAAAGAGGGAGAAACATTTAATTAATTAAAAAATCAATTAATTATTGGAACACTGTTTTTTTTTTCATGAAAGTTTTGGGTTACTTGAAATTAATTTTCTCATACATTTCTTCAAAACAAATTAACTTTAAAAAATTTGATTGTAAAAATTAGAAAGACTTTCTAAATTATTTTTTGAAGGTGAGGTGCTTGATGGATTAATTTTTTAAATCATGTATTTATTTAATCAATTTATTTAAAAACGTATTATTTCTACTTGTACTGAATAGTGATGAACTTATGGTTGTGTTAAGATAAATCATCCTCGTGTTACACACAACCCGATCGATCGACTCGACGTTTGGGGAAGAATTTGTTCTTCGCGTCGGCTTCGTCATATTTCATTTCTGTATTTTCGAAACTTAAGAAAGGTTAAAAGCTAGATTGAAATATATTTGTATAATATAAGATTTGATTTCATTCTTTTTACGCGGTATTGTTTTTTAATTCTCCTGTAAAAGAAGAATTAAATTACGTTATACATTCATCGACATAGTTCAGTTCAGAGGATTTGAAACGAGCAGATTGGATAATGGGACAATAAATCATACTATTTGCTTCTTGCTAGTGCATTTACTCTTTTCATGCGTGTGACATTAATTGAAGAAAATGAAGAGGCATGATACATGAAGAGGCCGCCCGCTCTCACCACGTGTGGAGCACGGTGCGACTGCACTTTGCACGTGCGTGACGCGACCCTCAGTGTCCGTGAGAATTTTTCGAAATTATTCTTATATGTATATCTTTACAAAAATATATATTCAATTAAATAATGAAGGTCCGAAATAACGCTCAAATTGAATGTTAATAATCTAATTTCGAAGTTTATTTGGAAATTAACATTTAATTTGAATGTCATTTCGGATCGCCAATACCTAATTGGGTGTATTTTTTTATAAGAGTATTTTCCGCCCTTTTATTTTAGCCATAAATAATAAAATATTTCTAATTTTGTTCTCTTGATAGCAGCAAATAATTTATTAAAACTAGTCAAAGACGTGAAGCAAGAACGTGAAGCAGAATTGTTCAATCTTAACTATTGTTCAAGTTATACATAATTTTGTAGGGGCATCACGAAGATATTACTAATGGTGTTACTTTATCAAAATTTTATGAAAGTAGACAATAATGTGATAATATAATATAATGATAATGGAAATATTATTTCAGATGAATGAATGTGGTCAAATATTATACAAACGTTATCATAATATAATACGAGTATTTATTGTAATTCCAATAATTCAATTTCCATTTCAAAAATTAACAATAAACACGATAGTCATAATCAATAATGAAAGAAAATAACGTGAATCTTCATAGCTTGATAAAATAACAAAGAGAGATAAATTTACTCAAGGGAATTTTTATTATTTAGTAAGTACTTATTATAAACTTTATTCTGTCATTTTTCTTTTTAAAATCATTTTCCTTAAAGGAAAGAAATAAGAGCTCATTACAAAAATAAAAAAATTCCATTACGATGCTTTTGAAATGTTTTTTCCCTAACGTATAAATTATGAGAATCGAAGTTCGCAATTTAGCAGGAAAAAAACGTATAAATGATGAGAATCAAAGAATCGTGATTTAGCAGGAAAATAAGTGTATCTCATCGCTATTAAGTTCACACAATACGATTTTAACGCGGCGAGAAAGAAGAAACCAAGATAATTATTCGGCTCGATAATTTCGGTTGACCGAGTCAAGATTAGCTCAAATTTGAGGTATTAGCATCGAAAACCCACTCGGAGAAAGAACGATGCGCTACGTGCTACGATTCATGTTTACCGAGTCCTTCGCGTACTTGGATGACGGGAATATTAAACGATTCACATCCGGCGCTCGACCGAATTCAATCTTAACCGACAAAGATCGCAATCAGTTTAAACTACTTCCTCATTACCGGTGCAAGCGGTAGCCGGTCAAACGAGACCTCGAAGTGAGAATCTCGAGTTGAATGGGAGGGTCTCTCTTACGGTGCAAGTCAATCGAATTCGTAATGAGACTAGCGGCGAACCCGCAATTGTTCAATAATGATCATCGGTTAGATTGAGAGCAATCTGATTCTAGATGGAAATCAGAGTTCGATTCCCTAACGATGTGAGTTCTTTACCAAAACCGGAGTAAAATGGTTGAGTAATTTTTACCTTACAAGGCTAATAAATATATTCTGTTTATTTTTACCGAATTTATGCTTTAAGCTTTACTTGCCTGAAGGTAAAAATATCGGAGATATAAAATAAAAGGTACATTACATTAAATTATAGTAAATCCATTCAAGTAATTATTATTTACAGTAAAATAAATCATACTATTCTCAAGACTGTAAGCATAAACAACTCTCAGGACTTTATACATTGTACTTTTTACTATGCAGTAAGATTTTATCAGTGATAAGGTAATAAATACTCATCCATAAATTAAATTTTATTAAGATGTGTAATAATTTATTTTACGAAATGTAAAAAGTATCTTAGTATGGCTATACGACGATCATTCATTTACCAGAAAATTAAAGTAAATTTTACACACGACACCTGTCCCTATATGGACTTGTCAATTCCATAAAATTTACTATAATTCTAATGCATATTTACATTTTTCTCTCCATGGGATTAATAAAAAGGAATAAAATTAAATACTTCCTTATTGTATTAAATAAGAAGAATCCACGTTTGAACTCTTTTTCCACGATTAATCGCGCACTCGGGAAGAATCACGTAGAGTTGAATTATATTTAAGTAAATCTCTGTGCATATACAGCGGGTATATAAAAATTCAGATCAGCTCTGATTAACTCAGCAATTCGCGCGAAATCAGAAATCGCGAGAGCAGCGTGAGAGCGAGAATCCTTGAACGGGGAAGAGAAACGGTAATCCCCGCAACTTAACCACCAATTATTTATATATGCGGAAACCAACGGATTTGATTTCACTATTTTCATTATAAACGTGGACTAGCATGATAACCGGACAGTAGTATCGACTTGTCCTCGTGATGTCAAAGTTTCCGTGACAAAAAACCGAAGTATGTACTTCATGGTCATGTGCTGCACGTAATATTGTACTAAAATGTATGTTAGATATATTGCAACTGCAACATATATCGTATTATCTATTCAACGAATGAGCATCTGATGCAAGGCATTTATTAAGGCTATGTTCCAAAATTGACTTCCAGTACTGAAAATCTATAGTGCATGTCACGTAAACTGTAGCATTTTCCGTGCTGGCAGTAAATTTGGAACACAGCCTAAATTGCTTGACAAAAGCCGGTTTAATTTTCAGTCAGTTCGAATAAGTTCGATTCTTGTGAAAGTAAAAGTCGCTTAAATATTCATTGGAATTTCTGTATTGGGGATTTTGCATATAAAAATGCATTCGTCAGCCTTCACTTTTGAAGATTTTAAATTAATTTATTCCATAATAAGTAAAAGTTTTAATGTAGAACTGTATGAATAATGTAGGTTAATCTCGATGTGACAGTATCATAAGAGATATATGATAACACATCTTAATTCGTACCTATCACTTTTAAAAGTCTAATATATCAATCTTGTTTAATAAACTTCATACAATTTCTTTGATAAGATGTAATTTTAAGATTAACTGGAATTAATTTGAAAAATAAAATTTTATTATCTCTTGACTATGTGGACGACAAACAAATTAAAACCATTTTTAATATACGTTAAGTGAATTCGAGCAGGTTCTCGTTTAAATGTCGATTAAGATGAAATGAGTTTGATATTCATAAAAAAGAATTCCGTAAGAGAGAGAGAGAGAGAGAGAGAGAGAGAGAGAGAGAGAGTTTACACTTTTGGCAATGTTGTCCAAAATGATTCGCGTGTTTTTCCATATATCCAGAATAGAATTTTATGATTCATTCTGTATCTTTTGCGACGAGTTGTTTATCCAATTATTTATCTTTATCAGTCTTCGATGACGAGATATGTAAAAATGCAGCTTCACTATTTTACGGTATTGACAGCTACGTGATAGATATTTCATTGTCGTGTGATATTTTTATATTTTCAACCGAGATTTTTCCGAATATTGTTATCCACGGTAACGCCTCTCTCGTGCTCTCGTCGTTAACTATCGATTACGTTATCCTATCCTATTGCGGTTGCCCTCATTTTTAATTTATTGTAATTTTATATATGTGTCCGATACAGTTCAATATTTCATCGCGCGGACATCACAATGTTTGTTGATTGATCGTGGTGTAACGTCAATACGATTTTGCAACGTATGATGATGACAATATATTTACATCACGCATGAAAATATACGCGATGATGTCCAGACTTTTTTTATATCGAGCTGTGCAAACATGCGCTAATCTTTTAAAACGTAATCGTATTTCGTCACACGTTCCATTACTGTAATTCATTAGGCGATTTATTGTCGCGATATTGTTCGGCGATGGGAAGAGGCTTGCTTTTATTGTATAAGAATGTGATTATATTTTCTGTTAACTGCAATCCACATTCGAGTTATGTAAAGTTAAATGATAGCAGAGGGATTTTGTTAATATAACTCCCTAAACTAACTGATGATGACCTTTTTCGAAGTTTTCAATATAAAAATAATCGATAAGTCGCAGCTCTACTGCTAATCTATAGTTTATATTATACGTATTATACTATAAATTTTTAGTACTGAGCAGCCTATATGCGCAAGAAGTTATGTGTATGTATATACATTTGCATTCATTCTGTGATTTTTTTTGTAAATACCTTGGCGAAGAAATTTTTATGAAAAACTACATAGATTGAGACAAGATCTTAGAAATTCTTTTTCGTAGATATTCGTAATGGGACGTAGAATAGCGTTGTTTGTTTGAAAAAGCAAGAAATCCTCCATCCTTTTTGTATACGTCTTTTGACGTTGTATTACGAGTTTTTACAGAACATTTTTTCCTATCTTGTATCACAAAACAAATAATGTCACTCTATGTTCCGCTACAAATATCTATGAAAAACTAAGAATTTTTAAGATAAACAAATCTCATTTTACGTTCCACTACGAATATTTACGAAAAACTAAAAATTACTAACTTGTTTCAATCTATTTAGTTTTTCTGTACTTTTTCGTAAAAATTTTTTCGCCAGGGTATATAATTTTATAACCATATATTTTAAATACTATACTTTTTAAAGAAAACTAATTTTTAAAATTTATTTTTGTGGAGGGCAGTGTCGTCAAATTTTTATAAATAATGTCTTAAATAATAAATATATTTCATAATTTTGACTTTATTATAGAATCGATTGAACAACACTTTAACAAATGTAATTGTTAAATTTTAAATTTAAATGTTTTATACAATAACAAAGTTATATATATATATATATAATATTATCTCTTCCAGTATTTCAAAATGTTATATGATAACATAATATAATCCGTCAAAATGGAAACAGATATTTCATAACTCTTTGAGAGTCACTTTAAATTGACTTTTATACTATAAATGTTTAAAAGTGTTAATAAATTAAATTTTCTAATGGTTTAAATTAAATGTCTTAATTTGTTCAAGATTAATAAATTTATAAACAAGTATTTTTAACAATCTCTCATATTTCGAGGTGTAATTTTTTGATACTTAATCGACGCCCGACTTTCACTCTACAATTTATGATGTATCGTGCAGCGTTTCGTAAGCGTATTTAACTGCGCTTCGTTGCTTATCGATTTTTATCGTTCACCCAGGCCATTTTGTTGCCCATTTCGCGTATTTCTGTCCCGTGATAATCCAGCGCCAGCTGTACCATGTCATATGCGTGAACGCGTAAACAAAGAGGTAAATTGTCATGTTAAAATTCGTAAAAAAAGACTGTTCTATGCAGCTTCAAGGAGTCGACAAATAAAAATTAAGAAAATTAAGAAGGATTATGTGCCAGTCAATTAATGATGGATCATCGTCGAACTCTGACTACTTGATGCACTATCGGCATCGACTACGATATCTTATTCAGGGGCAAAGATACATCGATTCTTGTGTTTTCAGTAGCACGTCTTTGATATCGGCGTTTTTGTTTGGAAGTCTCACTAGATTATGCCAACTCATCTAAAAATATTTAATTTTTATTTAATTGTGAAAACTTGTCTAAAAATATTCAATTTTTATTCAAAGTAAAAAAATTTTAAATCTCTATTTGAAGAGTGACAAAGAAATTATTTCATAACCAGAACGATATAATATATGAACGAGATTGCTTGTTGTTTCAATAAAAATATGTTAATATGGAATATCATTTAATACTGATTATGTTATTTAAAATTTATGAATATATGTATATTATATAATCGAATTATACATAGGTGAGTCAATAAGATGATCTTAATATGCATTATCTTGATTTTTTAGGGTGAAATTAAGATTACTTATTGACTCACCTATTGTATATTATTTCCATAAATAATCACTACTAATATATGTATAATTTTTAATTGTTTATTAAAAACTTTGTTGAAAGTTGAAAGCCGTTATTTATATATTTTAAATAGCAACTTTAATTATCTGATATTTAAATTTCTGTTTGGAAGAAGATAGAGTAGGTAATTAAACCTATAAATTCCGCTATAACTATATATAGATTTATAACATGATTTAAAATTATAAGATAAATTTTATCGTGGTTTGTTAAATGATAAGAGGAATGTCAAATCATTCGGCAAGTGCATGGTGTGATCGATGGATCATGTTATGGAAATATCAGTTATGGAAAAATGATTATCAATGTGGAAATTTTTCATCGAAAACGAGACATCACGTGTCAAACGACCTTTCTGTCTATCTCGTAACGCGATCGTATTTGACAACGCGAATTGATGAACGCCTACCTACATATTTGGATCTGTATATTCACGGATTACTTGGCACGGATTTATTGCGTTGTAATCGATAATCGCTATCACCTCGTGTCAGGCGGTCAATGAAAAGATAATTTACTAAATTCAATAAAATTAGTAATTAGTAAAGTACATGACAATCACATATTATCGCGTACAAAGAAATCAAGAGGAAACGGAGAGGTGATAGCCCCACCCAACGATAACGATTAGGACCATGAGTGTGAACTCTATTTGCCTTGTGTTTTATTTGCTTATCAAAAAAGGACGTTGACTCTTTTTGATACGCAAGCAAATTGATTGTGCTCTCCTCAGAGAATATCGATTGTTTTACAGGATGTCTAGCTTAAAATTCTTAAAACCACTTGTAAAGTTTGTCAGAAAGACGGCTTTATAACTAAGACATCTCGATTTATGACATCTTTGTATTAAGACGTTTCAGACATGCATATGTCTAAATTTTAAATTATAACTAGGACGTTTCACGTCAAATTGTTTGAGGAAAAACAATACTCATTGAAGATAATTTACGGTTTCAAAGATAATATTTTTGCTTGCAAACGAATATCTCGGTAATTAACAATTTGGAATTGATATAACTGCAGGTTAATTAATTCATTATTATTATACAAATAATTACACAAATTTTGTTTGCAGTTATACAATATTATTATTTTCCTTTTATGCAACTCTTTTTTTTTCTAATTTCGTATATCATTAGTGATCGCCTGGTAATATCGCAATTTAAATGCTTGACTAATCGCGTATTCATTAAATATTATATTTATAGTATTTCATAACAATTTCCAATAGCAGATAAAAGCAACGCTAATGAAATTCAATAAAATAGAGCTTGCGCGCACATTCGCTGCTTTCTGCGTGACTTCATTGTTGTCAAAGCTATCTCTTTCTTCATAAAAATGCAAAGTGCAATCCTTTGTTTGTGCCGATAATGAAAAATTTAACGTTATGTTATGACCATACTATCGAGATTGCATCTTTTCGATGTCAAGTGCACGTGCGGTTCTTACGATACACATTTATACTAGTTCAATACCATGACGCGCAATCGACGACGCAATCGTGACGCATTACGTCGAGAAATTACGTAAGTGAAATACGTAAATTGCGATAATACCGCGGTATATATCATTATAATAACCGCTTGGTTGATTTTTCTGCGGTTCTGCCTAGACTATTTGTAATGAAGTGACAAATCAGCGTGTAATTTAATTTATGCTTATGCACCGAGACACAAAATCATCTTTTCCTATATTCGTGACACGCAATATAAATTAAGATTCCCTACTCATTAACATAAAATTATTATCGGTCGATGACGCCAATTGTAAGCACAAAGTTTTCTTCTTCTATATAAATACACGAAATACATATATATAGATGCGCCATCTTTTTTACATTTGTAATGTGAAGCATAAATGAGAACTTCTCGTTTAATAAAAAAGAGACAAAATATTATTAAATAATGATATACTGATTATAAGTACGAATTTTTTTTATAATAATACGAATATAAATGCTCCTTATTTGTTCAATATATAATAAAAAAATTATTACTTATAATCGCCGATTTTATAATGAATTGAAAAATTTTTTTTTACCTGAACCTTGCAAACGTATATTAAATTCACTTGCAACAGTCTGTTGCTGGATATCCTCTGCTGCGTTGCAGTTTAAATCTCTGCTTTGTAAGCTTCGAACGCTCCGTACCAATCGCTCCGTAAAACCGGAAGCATAGCGGGCCTTTAATCTCACCGCATTATCTGAAATACGCAATTATGTAAACCTCTTTATCACCGGAAAAGCCTTCAAAGCACGCTTTGACTCGAGTTTCATCAGTGGAGTATTACCTACAAGTTATTTCGAGCGTTAGCACGATTGAATTGGTAATCTCGAGACAAAAACATCCTCGGAAAGTCAATTTTTGGTTGGTGATAAGATTTTGTACAAAACAGATAAATATATCTTCTTAAGATAGTGTTTTTTCTCTGACAAAACAAAATTTTCAACTTTAATAATTAAACATTTAAATAACTTTTGAATTTGTAAAAAGGAAAAGATGTAGATAAAACATATGTGTCACAAAATTTTTGCGAATAACTGTCTAAATAAAATACGTAAAATTTCGATATTCAATCACATGTTACAACTCTATTTTTATACAATTATAATAAAAAAAATGATTTACTAATAAGAGAAATATAATAAAAGAAATGATTTATTATACTTCTTCTAGAATTTGACTTACAAGGGAAGTTTCACAACTGTCCGGAACCGATTTGATTCTCTATGAAATATGTTGTTAAAGACGAAAATCTAAGAGACACGTATTTTTTTATATGTGCGCTAACTCATGTTTAAGGGGTGAAATACCCCTTTGAAAAAAAAACGGTATTTCTATTTCGAGCTGAATACCGTTGGAAGTATAAAAGATAGAAAAAAATTTTTTAAACAAAAGTTGTACGGTTTCAAGAATACTTCAATTTTGTGAAGAAAAAAAATTTTTTTTAATTTTTTTGTTTAACAATTGTTAACAAAAAAATAAAAAAAATTTTCATTTATCTACGGTGTAATAGAAATCCATTTGTGGGTTGATGAACATTTTATTAAGTCTCATTAAAGCGATAAAATAGCGATCAGAAGATGTTACCTTTCAAAAGCTGTAGATTAAAAGGCGCTCAATTATAAAGTCATCGTTAAACATTCAAGGAATTAACATTGAGCGTGCGAAAAAGTTACGCGAATATTCCTGTACTTGTTTATTTTTCATTTGCATATATATCTTGGAATTTTGCATAATTACAGCTAGTCTATCCGTCGTCGCGACTGGTGCGACGATGGGATGGACAAGTCCAGTTCTTCCTAACTTGGAGAAAGATGGCGGACCTTTGGAATCGCGGATCAGCAGCGAACAGAGTTCCTGGATAGGATCTCTGATGGCCCTCAGTCCTATTGTCGGCAGCTTCGTGGCGGGATACCTCGGAGAAAGGTATTATCTATAATATAAATTAGAGACTCTTACTAAAAGTCTGGTCATATAGTATACAATTTTTCACAAGAAAATATGACGGCAATTGTTAGATATTGTATAGTATATAGGATGGATCACGTAAAGCTTATGGAATCCTATATATTTTGCAATACAGAATCAAATTGCCGCCATATTTGTCTCACATGACTAGATTTTTACTTGAGGTAAATTTTTTTTACTCTCAAATATAAATTAGTCATTCGATCGCACAAATAATTTTGCAATATATAAGCAATTTATGTAACTACGTTCTACTTCTCGAGACGATAAGTTGGAAACTAGAGAAGAGAGCCAATCTTCGTGAAAGAGATAAAGGGTGCCTTCCAGCAAGAGACGCAGATGACACAGTGTAACACAGTGAATCATTACAATCTTGTTGTTTGCTAATGTTAAACGAAGATGATATGATTACTGTGTCACACTGTGTCGCTTGATGGAAAACATCAAAAGCGTGTATCAAATTCAAATATTTAATAGAGCTGAATCAAAGACAACGAGAACTAACTTTTTCCATCGATATTTCTATAGATTGGGCCCCAAACGAGCGTTACTATCTTGCGTGGTGCCGTATTTAATTGGATGGATACTTGTCGCCTCTGCGGGTCACATTGCTCAGCTTTATGTTGCTCGATTAATATTTGGATTGGCTCTGTCTATCGTATTCACGATCGTCCCTATATATAATGGCGAAATTGCCGAGGTAAAATTCATTTTTACATATATATATATATATATATACAATATGTACATATAAGTAGTACAATTACTTATACATAGTTTTCTATTTTTGCATTTTGTGTAAATTTTTATATCATTATGGCACTTTTTGCTGATATTAAAAATTTATCCTACTTCTCAGAATATATGAATATATAACTAGAATAAATAACTAGAAGAAAAAAATTATTTAAACACTTTATTTGTTAAAAATAATATTAAAAAAGTAAAATTTAAATTAGTTAAACAATTTAAATTTAAATTAAGTAAAATTCTGAAAGACTTTCGAAATTATTAAAAATTAAAGCGTGAACCAATGAGAGTTAGAGCGCGGTGTAATTGGAGCGCTAATTAATTTATGTAAAAATGTTCTTTATTCTAATTACTTGGTTGAACATTTCAACTCCGCTCTCTGAACTATCTAACAACAATTAAAAGGTCAAACGTTCTCAGAGAACTAGAAATAAATATCTCCTCTCAGTTATGTTTTTGATGCGTTGTATCATTAACACATGTTTGTCAGTATAAAACGAAAAACGATGAGAAGTTTATCGATATTCTATAAAATGCAATGGGTTTGGAAAGCGAAATCAGACACTTAACCAAGTAATATGAATAAAACATTTGTACACAAATTAATTAATGTTCATATCACCGCGCTTTAACTCTCATTAGTCTCATTTTAATTTTTAATAATTAAATTGGTCATTATACATATAATAACGAATTTATGTAACTTTTCAGGTGTCTATCAGGGGAGCATTGGGCTCTTTTCTTCAGCTCTTTATCACGTTCGGTTTTTTATATTCCTACGCTATTGGGCCGTTTGTTAGTTACACAGTCTTTTGGATTCTCTGTGCCATCGTACCGATAATATTCTTCATCTGCTTTATTTTTATGCCGGAATCTCCATACTTCCTCCTCGGTCAGGGCCGCAAAGATGAAGCGATCGCAAGTCTGGCGAAGCTCCGAAGTAAATCCGAAGCGGCCGTTCAGAAGGAGGCCGATGAAATACAGGTAAGCCATTGTGCAAAACATAACTTTCTTTTATAAAATTGTCTACTTTAAAAAAATCCCAGAATTAAAAAATTTTTTAATGTCAGGAGAATCAATTTGAATCTCAATTGACTTTGTATTAATTTTTTGTCAAGAAATTCAAATCGTTGGAATATTTAATTTTATGAAAAACTCTATCGAGAAAATAATGCGGTTAGTATACATATATTATTCTAATAAAAAATGCCAATTCGATTCGTGATCGTTTATGGCTTTATTTTTTTTTCTGATCGCTCGACTGACAAGGTGATCGCGAATGCACCGTTACAAGCACGTATTCAATCATTGCTAGACACATATCCGAGTATACATTGTCCGTCAGATCGCTTTAGACAAACGAGGTTGTGGCTAAGGTCGTTCCTTGATCCTAAACGACAATGTTTCACAATCGTGAGGGACAATTATGACTGGCTTGCAAACAACATATTCCTTCCTACAATAGAATCTTGTAGAATCGGGTGTTCTTTCAATCATACATAGCTATACATTGTAGCTATACATTAAAGCTATTGTTCGAACGTTGAAACAGTCGCAAAATATAATTGCAAAAATTAACATTAAAAGCCGAGGAATATAGAGGCTCAGATTGTAAATGGATGTCAAATTTGCTTCAGCATTATCTGAAATTCTTTTAATACACACACAATTTAACTTTTTTATATTATCTCATTATTTCAGAACATTCTACGTAGATTGTTGTGCTTCAATTTTAATATTTATTGTTTAATAAATTCGTCTTGGTTTCGATTTTTCAGGTGATACTTGACGAGGCTTTCAAGAATGAAGTTAGCATCTTAGACCTGTTCAAGGTGAAGGCGAACTTCAAAGCACTGGGCCATACTTGTGCCTTAGTTTCCTTTCAACAGTTTACCGGTATCAATGTCGTACTGTTCTATATGCAGAATATTTTCATTGCTGCTGGAGGTAGCATCTCAACAGATGTAGCACCCATTATCATTGGAGTGGTGCAGGTATTAGCGTCAGCAGTGACACCCGTAGTAGTCGATAGATCAGGTAGAAGATTGCTTCTCCTCATCTCCGGCATCGGAGAGACAGTCAGTTTGGTGAGTAATTGCTTCCATTTTCAGATCTTTGACCTCAAATTAATCAACTGTGAATTAAAAAAAATATAGTCTTAAAAATAAATAAAAAAAGAAATTTGTTTAAATCTGAAATATAATCTGGAATATAATTAATAGTTATGAGAATTAACAAAGATGATTTCAGATCTGGTTAACAAAGACTTTGAATAGCTAGATCAAATCTTTTCTTGTCTTTGATGATACATATTGTTTCATTAATTAAGGATCAAAATTAATAGTAGAAGTCAATTAAAATAGTGTTAAAATTTCGCATTCTTAAATAAGCACAACGATTAACAATATTTCAGTTAGAAGATACAGGCACAAGAATTATTATATAAAATAATACATTTTTGTTTTATCTTTTCGATTCTCATGTTTTTAAGAAACCGGTTGCAGTCATTCATGAAACGTAGCAATTGAGAATTATTACTAATCATATACACTTATAATTAGTTTGAAGACATGATAGTTCATGAAGAATTAATGATGCGGGACCAAATATTTAATCTTGCATTGAAACTTTTATAAAATTTTCATACTACTCTCTTTTGATGAACACCAGATTGATTCGGAAATTTGCATGAAAAGCATGTCCAAAATTAGCGTATTCATGAAGCGATAGACGCGGTTTCCCGTAAAGTTTACTTCCTGTTTTATGGAACGAATTGTAATTTTGTCGCTCTGCGATGACGAACTTGAGTTTGTTAGAATGGACATGCATTTTGTTGTTGATTAAAATTTCAAAGGAACCTCAAGGGATTTAGATTAGAATCATTAAAAGCATAAAGATAAATTTTCTTCCAAGAAACACAATTATCTTTTGAATCATATTTAATCAGTGAAAATGAACTGCAATTAAATTTTAAATCAGATACAAATTAATATTACGAAACAAAATTGTCATTTTTATCAGTTTTCTCATTTGGATTTTATTAAATATACAAGGCTACGTTTTTGTAAACATCATCAATTATGACGTTAAATGAGATGAATTAAAACAGAATATTACTATGTATGTTTGTTTCAATTCATCTCATTTAATGCCATAATCACGATCGGCATAATTATACTCTTTGTGGTATTTAACTTCTTTTATCACGCATCTCGCCTTCAGGTAAATTCTCGGGGCGAACGACTTAATTATCCGACACAGAGAATTGAGATGCTACTTGTTATCGCCATTTGGAGTTTATACAATCCTCTTTGTAGATCAAATACAGCAACGCGGTAAAGTTCTCGCGCTCGGTAAAGTCCGGCACAGGAAATACAACAATGAATCGCGAGGATATACAATGTCCTCGGAAAGAGGAAGGCTGAGCATTATTATACATATATACGGATCGTCATTATGCATTCTGATGAAATACGATGGAATGTATCAGATTCAGTGCACACAAAGCGCGAGGACTTCCACGTGACTGTATGTGCATTGATTACATAATTTGCGATAGAAGGCAGACGAGTGTACGATAACACGCTGACTGAAATGAATTAAGAAAATTATAATTTTTGTATCGTGTAGGATATTTTTGAAACACGAGTTTCCTTTTTTCGTTTTGCCATTGAGAGTCTACTTAAATTTAGAAGGCAGTTGTTTACTCTGGGAGATTAATATAGTAAAAATTGTCAGAAACATCCAAAAAATCTTGTAACGTCACTATAGATAAGAATTTTTCAAACACCGAATATGTTTATACTATATAGCAGCATTGAATTTGTTATCATACAAATTTTGTTCTCACGCTTTTATTATGTACTTATCATGTGTACCATTTGTTTTGCAGTGTGCCCTGGGCTTATATTTCTACTTGAAGGAAGCACAGCACGCGGATGACGTAGTGGAACAGATATCCTGGTTGCCGATAGTCTCGCTCGTCATCTTCATCGCTACATACTGCATAGGCTGGGGTCCTCTTCCATGGGCGGTGATGGGCGAGATGTTCGACCCGAATGTCAAGGCCAAGGCTTCCGGTATAACGGTTTGCATCTGCTGGTTCCTGGCCTTCCTCCTTACCAAGTTCTCTAGTAACTTGGAGAAAGCGTTAGGCAATTACGCGTCCTTCTGGATGTTCGCAGGATTCTGTTTCGTCAGTGTCCTTTACACGGTATTTTTACTGCCTGAAACGAAAGGCAAGACTCTTCAACAAATCCAGGATGAGCTCAATGGAGTGACTTCGACTGCAAGCGTTGAGAACGGGATGAAAAAGTGAGACGAGAGCACTTGCATTCGATTATCTTGATGGCATATGCTGAATCACTCGATGAATTCATTAACACTTTGAAGAGATCAGATATTTTTAAAAAATTTGTAAAGTTTTACATTTTTATGACATATCTGCACAGGAATCTTTTATAAAGAAGGAGAATCAAGTAGCATTAGAAATACGGATAATATATATGCCTAATCTACTGCCAAATTTATACAGATATAGATAATATGGGCGAAATAGAAATATTTTTAAGCGACCACCGCTCGGTTTTTTGTCTTAATGTCGTTTGAATCATAAAGAAAAATGAAAGACGATCGATAAACGAATGATGGTCCAATAATTTAAATAAAATGTTCGGGATATCTATCTCAGAGAGTAAAACGAGGATAGACTTTATTTTTGCTCACATACACTCAGATATAATTTTGTTGTTTTCTACAGGGAACCAAAAATACTTCGTCTTCCAAACATTTACGTAACACCTAACACAGCACAGTAATTGTATATGTACATAATGGAAGTCATCATGCATATTTATAAGTACGCTTGCGTTAATGATATACTTCGGTATGTATATCATTGTCTATAAACTTCGTTTTTCCAAGCATGAAGGAATTTATAATATGTCAGTAAACGTTTCTACGTTTTCAAGTTCCTGTCAGATCCGTGATTAAGAAACGCAATAGAGCTGTTAATATGACTCTCCTATTTTATCGTATCGGGATTTTTCTAGTATTACACATGATTGTGGACGTAGTGTGAAGCGAACGAAAAACCAAAAATATTAATTTCGCGGCGTATTTCTCGTTCACGGATGAGAGACTAGTCATTTTATAACGCGTCTACATATAGAGAACGTAAATATTAATGACGTCAGAGAGATGTTAAAATCTAAAAGGAAATTTCACATCGATTATCATTGAAACTTGAAATCGTTAAAACTGTCAATAAATTGATGAATTTATATGACGCGAAGAGAAATAGGTATGAGCTAACTTTGTTGTTTTTAATAAATATTGACAACAAAGCCGTCATCGCTATATTTAGTTATTTACAAAATACCCATAATTTATATACAATGAATATTAATATATTTACGCGAACAAAATAATTTTGGGAGTAATATCCAAACATTGTATTATTAGTTGATTTACATTAAGATATTGTAAGTCATAATATTGGCTTGTTCTTTTTGGCTGAATTTTTGCACCAATTCATTTTGCTTCTTCTTCTTTCCTCCCGACGAGAAAAGGAAGAAAGAACTAGTGCAAAAGTTCAGCCAAAAAGAACAGGCCTATTATCTTAATGTGAGAGTACTACTCTGTGCACAATGCATTTTTTATTCTTAATAACTTAAAGAGAAATATGAAAGTTTTAATTTAATATTGTCTCAATACACGATTAAAAATTTTAATATAAAAATAATATAAAATTTTAATATAAAATTACAAAAAATAATTCCATTTACTCTTTGTCTTATTGCTTTCAAAATTTAGCAGACGGAATTAAAATAATGGAAATTATTATTATATAAAAGTGATTCAATTTAACAATTAATAATGCACTCGTTGCACATGTATGTTGATCAACGAATAAGACTTTTATAAACAATTTATAGTGTACATAGATATATTGATTAGACGTGTTGAAATAATCTGTTATAAAGTACATATATACAGTAAAAGCGCTCTACTATATTAATAAATGATGAATAGCAATATCTGTAAGGTTCCTTTTGCCCTTCGTATTAAAATGTTTGAATTTATGCGAATGACAAATCAATTTTGAAAATAACACATTCGAGAGCGTTTCTCTAATCTGTTACATATAAACTACTTTTGGCCATGTTGTATATATTTTAATACTAATGACATATTTTGTATATAATTATTATAATTAGAAATAAATTATAGTTACATTTTAAAATAATGTATATGTTTATTGCAATTTTTTATGATAAACAATAAACAAAAAAATTCCTATCTTTTACATTTTCCTAAATTATCAGTCATATTGATAATATTATATTAATATATATCTTCTTAATATATAAAATAAAGAACATAAATTAATTTTAAGAAAATAATATGCATTACAAGAGGAAACATTTTACTTCTTTCAAAAAAAGATTTCTACTGAAGTGTTAGACGAGTTCTTTAATTCATCGATTGAGATTAATCGTATTATGTACAAATGCAGCTTTTATGGAACAAGTTGCATTTATGTATAACGCGATTAATTAATCGATTAATTAAAAAACTCTATTAGCATAAAGTTTAATATAAAGATATTATAAGACATGAAAGAATATCAATAAAATACAGTTGCTTTCAATCTGCTTTTAATTAAGAGATAATTATAACTTACAAGAACTTATACGAACAGTTTTACGTTTCAAGACAAACATCATCTAACTTTTTAATTGTATAACGATTAAAAATATGACGAATACGTCATGAATAAAGAATTCTTGGTATATTCTTATTGAATCACATCTTAAAACTGATTTTAGCCAAATTCTTCAATAAAAATAACAGCGGCTGTATCAACACAAACTTTAATAAATAATCGTTGCCACATATGTCGGTTCCCGAAAAATAATGAAACAAAAGCCGTATGTTGCGTATGACGGATACGAAAATTTATTTGACAATATATTAATTAAAGCTTTTTGAATCGTTCAATTCAACGTTATTGAATCGTGGCAAAATATTTGTTTGACATAAAGAGAATATTCATGAAAACGATGAATAAACGTAATCAAGATAAGGAAAGCGATATGGTAAGCATATAATATTGGTTAAAAATTGCAAGAGATATTAAAATATCAATTTAAAAGAAAGTTGTTTGTGAATTTAAATATCAGTCTGTATTAAAAATAGAATATGTATCAACATCATTTTACATTTTTTATATAGAGTGAAGAAGATAAGAGATTACAGGAAGAATTGCTACAAGCAGTTGATATATTACAAGTAAATAAATTTTAAGTTTCACTAAAGTTTCAACTTAGAATAAAATATATCTAAAATTTATTAACTCTTTCTTTAATAATTAAAAAACTGCTATCTTAGAAAGGAATTGGATTGCATGCATATGTATGTAATTTTCATATCAGGGTAAAGATGAAATAGCTATGTTGCTGTCATTGAATCATCTAAGAATGTTGATACGTACATCCACGACTTCGATGACATCCGTTCCGAAGCCTCTCAAATATTTGAGAAATTTTTATCCGAGCTTGTGCAACACATACGAAAGACTCAAAAGGGAAGAAGCAAAGATACGTTTTGCAGAAATCCTGAGTGTACTCGCTCTCGCTGGAGCGACTCCAGAATCCAGAGACTGTCTGAATTTTTGTATCAAAGGGGCTGTGGATAATCCTGGGGAATGGGGCCATGAATACGTGCGACAACTCGAGGCACAGATCGTCGATGAATGGACGAATGCACCGATCAAAGAGGAACGTGAGATCCGGTAAAATATATTATTTAAGTATAATCGTATATTATTTAAAAATATATATGATTATACACACACACAAATAAAACGTTTTATGATGACGTGACAATCTGTAGCAGAATTTAGATATTACTTTTTTGTTACATATGTGCCTAATGTTCAGTTTTATATTTACATCAACACCGAGAGATAATGAGAATAATGTAAAATTCACACGGCATATTTTTTGTATTAGAAAGCGTCTTACACCCTTGATCAAGAGCATTATAGCGTTCGACACGAGACACAATGCAGAAATACAAGCATGCGATTTATGCCTGGAAATTGACGAATTAAATTTTCTCACGGAAGACCTGGAGCCTACAAACTTTGCGCGTGTGTGCTATTATTTAATTAGTTGCGCAGCTTATAGGTAATGTTTACTAGATAATATTACTATAATTAAAAATGTACTGGTCTTATTTTTTTTTTAAATAAAAGCGAATCTAATAGATTTTTTTACGTCTATTAAGCTGGCCCAGCCACTTCAACACAATCAAACGCGACCTATACCACATTTTTTTGCTATTTTTTTGCTAATTTTTTGCTCTATTCCCGATTTTTTTGCTCCAGCCGATTCGCTAAAACCCATGGCTGTGCTAGCTTAAGATCAAAGTTAGCACAGCCACAAAGAAAAAAAGCAGCAAATGAAAAATCAAGTACATATTCTTGAAGGGCTATTTTTATGCTAATTTTTTGCTCTATTCTCGATTTTTTTGCTCACCGTTTAAGTCGAAAAATTCGACCAAGAGTGTGGCTG